CCCGCCACAGACTTATTAAGTTGCATTCGAATATTCGAATGCAACTTAATAATATCTCCACCAGAAGCGCACTGTCAAAGGCAACAGCACCACCACCCGCCGAAGGAATGTTAACTTTGATAAGACCGTTTCGCCGGGTAATAACGGTGAATCCGGATTAATGCGTGGCAAATTCCATCCGTGGGATCCTTTAACGCAACGACGACGCGATCGTTCCACGTGAAACAATTTCCTCGCGGTGGGACCGAAACTACGGTCGACGCCTACACGCATGGTCACGATGATAGCTGCTGGGAGTCGGGAGAGTCCCTCTGCTCGCGAACTATTTCAATTCGGCAAACAATTCCCGATATCAGTGGAATTACGGGCGATGAAGGCGCTCGCGCGCGCTCATGTTTCCACGAAATACACGACCACCCGCTATATACCTGCCGGAATTATGCAGATTAAGCTCGTTCACAGCGTGTCCAAGTGCACGGACCCAGACAAACGTCAAGCGACCGTGTTCTTAGGTGCTCGAGGAAGCAGTGTCGCTTTTCACGGGACGACGAATCCTGTGCAGAGAATTCTAACCGGGGCCGTCGAAGTTTCTCGATCCTCCAAGACAGGGTGCCCTGACATCACGGAGATCTTGGATCCCTTGTATGTGGTCTATACAAATGGCTTTCCTTTATTTTCAAGTTGGAGCAACCTACAGAGTACAAAACGTCCTTACTTTGGTGAAAGTTACGTTTAATTATTATCGGTCTATTATATCTAGAGTATGATTTCGTTTAAGGCTTTTTTCCGGTATGTCAGAGGAGGTTTGTATAACGTCAGAGCTTAGGTGGTTAAGAGAGCGTATGTAGTGTCTCATTGAGAGATCAAATATGGTGTCTTCTATTTTTTGGATCCCCGTCAGTCTGAGTATACCAATTTAAATACCGTTAACCTCATCAAACCGCAAATAACCCACCTGGCCTCCCTCTCAGTTCGACCATGATACCCTCTAAAATCGCGTAGGAAAGCGAATCACCGTCGTCGGGGCGCCAGATCATCCAGGACTCTATTTTATATCGTGGTCGCAGGATCGACGCGCCGGGGCGTAAGTATACCATCTAAGATGGATTAGGATTCGAGTCGCAGCGACTGTTCGTTCGTCCGGGTCCTCCTCTCAAAAACGATCCCGTGCCGATCTCAAAGCCGTAATGATTAATGGAGTTAGGGAGGTGCCCGCAGTTCCGTAATACCGTGGCAACTATCGAGTCGGAATTACAGTTGAGAAACTTCGAGGTGAGTTAGGGGGCCGACGTCGTCTCGGACGGGAAGAGGGGTTCACCGCCCCTTCGCCCCCCTCGACGTTCTACCATTATGTCGCCTTGGCTCCGCAGCCATCCGACCACGTTCCAAACTCGATTTGATTTTGATTCGACGTACACTGGAAACGCATTTAATGCATGCGCTTACGTGCGAACTACGCGTGTATCGACTAAGAATGAACATCGGGGAGATGATATCTGTCTTCTTGAAGATAGGGGCCAAGGTGTACTGCCGTGATCGATTCGTTAGCATTTAGAACGGCTTCCCTTCCCTTTTCCCTGACGGGTGTCATTCTCGATCTTGTTACTGTTAACGATTTCGCGTGGTCCGTTGCACGATGGGTCTACAAGACTATTCGATGTACTTAACGATCCAATAACTGCGGCAGATCGTTCTACTGCAACAGTGTGCGATTCGTACAGCGGCATGTAAGCTACGGTTTCGACAACAACATTCTTGCCATGGGTTACATCCGTTGTTGTATTGCGGATGGCGGTATGCTATTTGAACAAGCGTTAAAATAACGTTTACTTTAAACCTGGTACTGAGTCAATAAAAATATCAAGTAATATGCTTTATTGAATTTATTGTGAAGTTACCGACAATCTCGTGAGAAAAAAACGTATGGTCCTATTTATGTTATTTTATTTATTATATTAGTACTATTAGTACTTTCGGAATATTTTGTATCGTCATTTGCAGAGCACTCGATACCATCATACGGTTTAAATACTTTATGTTGGCAGAGAAATTGTGAGTAGTTTTACTCGGGACACCCTGTGTAGAGGTGAAACTACACCATTCTAACCCAGATTGTAGGAATACCGTTTTATTCGGTGGTTTCCGAATTCTCAAACCGTTTTAAAGCGAGAAACCATGTTATGGGAACACCGTGTTATACGACTGGCCTCTATATAAACTTTAACAGATAAGGTTCCTGTATTCTACTGTTAAACAAGTGAAACCGACATTTCTCCCATCCGCCCCCAAGTGAACGTAAAACACATTATACTCCCATTGTAATATAAGAACTAGTTATAGTTATTAATACCGTTCCCAAGCACAGAGCAAAAAGCGAACTTTGACTCTCGTCAGTTCCCGTTCGTTTTAGTGTCCCGTGCCGAGTCGCCGAACGACACTCGTCCTAATGGAAAACTCCCGCGAGTACGGCAGTTTGAATGGAGATCATCAACAGGTACTATTGCGCACACCGTCCGAAACGACGGCGGCTGGGTCGAGGCTCTCAAGATGACATAAAATTTAATTACTCCGTTTCCGCGTCTCCTGGAATCACACGCGACCGAAGGAACAATGGCGGCCTCACGAAGGAGAATGGCGCAGCGTTAAGCTGCGTCTACACTGTATAGCGTAACACGTTATATAGCAAAGTTATAAAATTTGTTAGAAGAACAGAACGAAAAATGCTATATAACACGTTGTTGCATAACATTTTTAATGTGCGACGCCATTATTAATAATGAGATGCGAGATGTTATAGAAATGTGTTACGAACTTGTCCAAAATCTATAATCTTGTAACAAGTTACAGAAACATGTATAGCAAAGTTGTATAACAATTTTTTATATAACATCCGTTTGTTATATAGTGTAGACGCAGCTTTACGCTCGCCCGTTAGCCTCGAGCGTTTAACAGCGCCGCGGGAGATTGAACGGCGAAAATCTTGTTTCTGCCCCCCGTTCGTTGCGGAAGAATTGACGAACGGTTTCTCTTTGCCGTCTATTCCGATATTACCACGTGGAAAATTGCTTCGAAGGAATTCAAAGCGGCGACAAATCGCCCCCGCAGACTTCGGCCACGGAATTGCGGTCTTTCTATCTTTTCTCCCTCTCGTTCCTGCGTTCGCGTTTCGAAAGAGGACCGCGTCGAATTCTGGTGTCGATTTAATTCATCCACGAAGGGTTCAGCCCCCGTTCGAGTCGCCTTTTCCGCCCGCGCGGATGAATCTCGTTTACCGCGACGACCGCTTTAATTCCTGCCCGGTTTCAACTGGCAATCAAGCCAGGCGAAATTTCAGGAAGGGCGACCGAAAGAACGCCGTGGCTGAAAACATTCGAATAGCTGCTGGCCAGAATCTGGGGACAACGCGGAGAACCAGGGAGTCTTGCTTCTTATTAAGGGGGCAGAACACTGTAAGGGGCCCAAAAGTGCAGATATTTTTGGAATCTTTTTTCCAAAGAAACTATAAAATGGATTTTTTTTCGAGATTTTATCGAAAAGAAAACAATTTTTTAAATTATTAGCCCGCAAGTGTGTACCCCATAAAAATTACGACTGGACTGTAGATGTTCTGCATATTCACAGTTTTGTAGATTGATTTACGAAACAGAATTAGGTAGAAACTTGAAGTTCAATGCAAAATAAAGGTACCTACAGTATAAGAAAGTTATGTAAGTAATGTGGCTAACCGTTCAATGATAATTTGGAAGCTGCACCGAAATTTGCGAGTTTGTTATTATTAAATGAATGTATGAAAAATTCTAATAGAGCGGAACATCGTTGTATTCCCTCGTTCTCTTTAAACTTCCACGCGTTTACAAGGGAAACAACGTGAACACGCGGTGCATTAATCAAAATAAATATTTGCGCTTCGTTCGTGAGGGATTATGAGTGATTTAACGATAGCCTTGCCCCGGAGTTCTCGCGCAATTTACCAGTTTCGCTACACGTCGCGAACTACCGCACTCGAGTGTCGGGTTTCGAGTTTACTAACATTGCTCTATTATGTCCTTACTCGTACCCCGCGTAATTTTCTCGCAATTTCAATTACCGTTTTCGGTTGCCAGCTCCACGACGCATTCGGAATATAATTAAAAATAATATTAAAATCGCGACTCATTTAAACCGGGCTCGAATACGCTTTTTTTTCTCCGAATCAAAGGCAATCCCATAAAACTACCGCGGTCAGATGGTTAAATTATAGCGGCTGGGCTATGTTTGCAGCCGCCGCTTCCGAATTCCGGCAATAACAGCCCCGGTAATGGACGATCGGGCGTCCGTCTGAAATTGTTTTACAAATGAGTCAACTCAGCCGGCAATAGATCAATTCGGTCGGCAATTTGCCGGCCACTCTCTGCCACCACCCTCCTACGAGTCCACGACAAAAATGCGCGTCGACGCGATTTATGTGTCCCACGGATCGATTTTATTTCATCGTCGGATCCTCGTTACAACGCGGGTAGGAATCATCGTGCCCGACGACAATTATTTTCCACGTGGTCCCCCGATGGTCCACTAAATTGACGTTCCGCGCAGCGTCGAAACTTCATTGCACCGTATGGAACTTAACAGTGGAATCCGTTTCGATTATGAAACGGCTCTCTAGTTCGCCTTACACTTCTAAGTTTGTTGGATCGAAGACGCTGAACTACGAAGCTTCGAGTCGAAGGTTGAAAATTTAATTTGAAACAGTATCGTGTTCTATTCTCACTTTAGCTCGGTTAAGATTGGAGGTCGTTGAATTCGCTTTGAAGTTTATATGGATAGAGAACTGACAGCGATATTTCAGACTTTACTGTGCTCGATCTTCACGCTGAAGACTCTCGTAATTGGGTATGATAACGATGACCTGAAAATGTCGTGATAATTTATAAAAAGAACAACACCAACCTGACACTGTGAATATCGATACAGGGGATTTCGCATACGTGGAGAATTCGAAAATAATTGGTACAAAGAGTTTATTAAATTTTAGGCGGGTGTGTCACCTTTGTGCACCTTTTCGACCGCCTGCAGTATGGTTTACAATCCTGCAACAAATCGAAGTATACTTTCCATTGGGTATGCGGCTCTTTAACCTCCGTGAAGAACTGTTCGCCGTCGTACATGTACTGATCGAACGGAGAATTCATCGCCCATATCCAACCCAGGTCTGCGCACAAGCTCGCGGTATGACTGCACGTATGAAAACTTTATTGTAGTTAGTTGATGTTGTCAGATAAAACGAGGAAACAATCTTCACTCTTATTTCTATATGATAATCTCCAGTTTCTTAAAAAAAGAATCGATATCGAATAATCTGTCCTTTTTCACTGCTCTGGTTAAAGTAATTTAGTGAAACTAACTGGCTGGAAAAGGATTTGGAAGAGTTTGAGAACCTCGAAGAATTCTAATAGGTTCTAAAATTTCGAACACGGTTCAACTCACCTGCTGTTGCAGAAGACAACGATGGCCGGATAGCTGCAGTCGCGCGCCAGGTACCAGCTTTCGACGAACAGTCGCCTGGCGATACCCAGACCCTGATAGTAGGGATGAAGCGAGTATTTTTAGCATCGATACTTTCTTTCGATACAAGTTGTGAGTAAAAGTATTGATTTGTCTCTACCTGGTAGAACGGGTCCACGGTCACGGCAGCGATCTCGAATAGCCTCGGGACGCATAGGCGTTCCCAAAGCGCCGCCTGTTCATGTTGGTAACTGAAGAACTCGATTATCCGTCTGACCTTCATCGAATCGCAGCAGGTTTTCGCGAACTCCCGTTGTTCCTTCGAGGTCGACGGATAGATCAGGCTGTTCAAGGCTGCGCCGATCACACACCGTTCATGGTCCTCGGCGATGATCGACAGGCCGTTTCTCACCACGTTGTACATCAGCTGTCGCCAGCATTCCGGCGCTTCCGTACCTACCAGACCGCAGCTTTGGACCGTCGGTTCGCCCTTGTAGTAAAACTCGGACATGAAGTTCGACACGTTTTCATAGTCCGGGGGCAGCGCCAGGCGTGTCGTGAAAACTGGTGTGTCCTGGGAACACGCGAACGGATTTACAGTAAATCCTCGATGAGTGTTCGAAGACTCCTCGGCAAAGACAGAGAGAAGTCCACAAATGTAACACTGGCTTTTTAATGAGGTTTAGTACAGTAATCGAGCTTGGAATTCTGAAACCAATGATGTTTGTTTCAACCACATATGGCCATTAGTTTATAAAATATTTAATGTTCAGTGCCTTGGACCCTTCGAACACTCATCGAGGACTTACTGTATTGGGTCGCGATTTTATCGCCTCAGACACGCACTTCATTTATAGCAATCCAAGAAAAAGGTTAAGCGTAATTTTAATCGTGCTGTTGATATTAATTACAACGTCAGGTTTTGTATACAGCATGTCCGTCCAAGCAAGACAGGATTACGTTAGGTGGCAAGTTTTTCTGGAGAAGTCAGCGAAACCCGAACTTGCGAAAGAGTTTAACACTTCGTTGACGATCGAGTCACGTCCGACACGGGGATCCCCGGAAGAGGGCAAATATAGTGGAATAAAAATTTCAAACGCTCACGTGGGAATTTAATTAAAATACCCCGAGGAATTCGATTTCGTATCTCGAATAGCATGATGAAAGAAGAAATTAATGAACAGGGTGTAAGAAACTGTAACCGACAGCAGGGTAATGTAGGAAGTGGCATTGTCACAAGTTAGAGACCATATTGAAGTGTCGAAATTTAATGTCTACCTGACAGTTTCGGTAAAACATGCATGCACAGTCAGCTGCATTTTTAAGCAGGAACCGACGCCAATATCAACGTCAACTAACTTATTGCAGGTTACATCGATCTTTCATTCCGAACTGGATGTACATTTCAAATGAACTTACTTGACACTCTGTTCCCTTGCTCAAGTTTCTCCCGGTAAAGTGAAAATTAGCTCGTGTATTTCCAATTGTTCGATATTTCGAAATATCTTTGAGGCATTTAATAATAGATGTCCTATATGAAAACAGCGTAAGCATAGTCATTACGTATCTCCCTGCATATCACATCTCCTAAAGTATCACTAAATTTCCAGAATTATCCGTGGCTTGTTAATGAAAGGTTAAGAGTATGAAAGGAAGGTTGTTGGTATCGAATCCGCGACTCGCTTCTTAATTCATTTATTTATCGAAATATCCCGCGCCTTGAATTAAACGTGTTTTGCATTGCCGATTCATACAGGGTGAGTTAATAAAAATTACCATCTAAAATAATTCGTTGTCTATTGCTTGTATAGAAAACGTTTTAAAGAATCATGTAGCACCGTACTTTCACTTTTCTTTGTTTTCCTCCATTATCCCTTGATGATAAATGTAAACATTTTTCGCACATTCCAACACTCCGAACACCCACTTCACTCCCGCAATATCAATGTACGCTACGTTTATTATAAATATCACGACGCCTTCGTGTTCTCGGTCAGTCGATTTGATGTTAGAAAATTATTATCCACTTTGCAGTAACGAATCCGCTGGACGGTTTCGCGTCAACGAACGAAAAAGCTAGAGACAACACGGGCTCCGCTGGGTTTTGCAGGCACGGACGGGACGATAACTCAGGCACGGCTCTATTCATTGTTGTATGAAATGATATGGCAGAACGGTTGATTTATGTGTTACCAACGTCGCGTTTGACCGCCCCCGATATACAGCGACCGTCACACGTACGAACGCCTAAGCGCGACTGCGCTGATTTTGTCCTCTGTGCACGGGTGTGTTGTCGTCGAAGCCGTGAATGTACACTAAGGTCCTGAGGGTTTATGGTTCTGCGGGTGTATGAATATTTGGACATCGGTGAGACGTGTGTACAGACGATTTAGTTGATTCGTTCGTTCCTTCTGCATTGGAACCAATCAGCAGAAGCCAGCTCTGTCTATTCATCGTCCAGTGATTATACGTGTTAAATTAATAGTGGAAAGTCAGAAGCGAGGTGAAAGAAATTTTTGAGGATTTATGTTCGTGCTTTAAAGTTTAGTGATTTTATTATTTATTGTTACTCTTAATTTTACTTATTCATCGAATGAGCTGGTTTTATTAATTGGCGAGAGTGACTTCCAAAGATCCAGAAGGTCGACGCACAACGACGGAATACTTTATCTCGTTCACAAGAATCGATCTGCCATCAATCTAAGAGATTTACTACTGCATTCAATAAAGCTGGAAATGCACGGGAGAATGTAACTTCAAAGAGGAAGGTATCATTCCGCCGTGAATCGCATGGAAGACTGAATCGACGACCGGCGTTCAGCGATTTATCGACGACTCGTTATAAAAAAATACATTTCACTCTTTATTACCGTTGTGCGAGAATCCGAATTCACGGAAAACATCGTAGTATACTTTCATGTACTGCAATCAAAATGGAACTTCTTTGAAATAATTACGCAAAACTGGAAGACAATAACGTTTCATTCGTATGTAATGCTACCGTAGACATGTCTCTGTCATCGGTCCAAATATTCACAGTTACGAAGAGAACTAAAATAAAAAATAACGATGGTTCAAATGTATATTTGAAAATCTGGTTTATCTCGAAATGTATAGCAGCTTTCAAAATTTCAGAATCTCTTCATCCTTACTTGACAGAAAGAAAGCTGAAACAAAACTCTGAATAGTAAATTTGTTCACCATATAATCCACCGTCGTGTAATGAAGAAGTTAATAAAAAGGGTAATGTATAAGTAAGGTGGATGCACCAGTAAATGAAGACCTGCCAGTGAATGAACATTATATATAAAAACGAGTATCATGAATGAGCAATGCCGTTACGCTGCTGCTCGAGATACGTACAGTCCGATCGGGGGCGTGCTTGCATCAATTACTGGGCTTTTATTCTCATTTCATCCGATACACCGAAAGATTGCAATTTATCGGCGCAACAATAGCCGGCATTATTAATATCCATTAATCAACCGTGGGGTTACGTCGGCTGACGCGCGCGATACAAGCCGAGCCCCCAGAGCGAGCGCACGGGGCCGAAACATTGGCCGCCGCGTAAATTGGAACGGGAACCGGAACAATACGTCCTGATGAACTACGGGAAATATGGAAGTATATTCTGGATCCTTGTTCCGCATCGAATCGATGACACTTGAAATGAGAAATTCCGAGCTCGCTATTAAAACCAGTTTCTGCAGGGGGAAAAAAAACGATAGAGAAGGGCGTATCGTAAAAAATCGTACAGGAATTGATTTCTCCACTCGAGTGTGTCCTATTCGAAGGATGAAGGCAAGTTCCTGTGCTTCGATAACCATTGTTCTATTTTTCAAATTTCTTTTTATTCGTGGCTGGAATTAATGCACCGTTTAATATGTTAAAAATCTCAATGAATGATCTGTAGCGGAAAAGTTACGTATTTAAAAAAGTATGCGTAAACAACTGTGCATTGATCATTCGGTATCGCCTTCAATCATAAATAATTATTCTGCTCATTAAATTCTTCTCTTCCGTCAATATTAAATGTTCCCAACGAGTGTAACAATTCCGTGAAATATAATGAACACGTTGCATATAATACGCATAATTGGTATCGTTATGCTAAATACCGTACACCGTATAATATGTAGAACGTGGATCGTTTTAATTGTCCACAATCAAGCTTGTCGTATTATGTATACTGATAGATTGCAGGTGTATTTCACGAGTTTAATGCCCACTCACGGGCCACGCTGGTCGAATAAATAAACCTCATGAAATAACAGATCAGTGGTGAAATAACCACAGTTTTATTATAAAAACGAACAGACATTTTACGTTTCTCCTGTACGCGTATAACTGGATTTCCAATCGCTTCGTGCACCTAGCGCGCCTTCGCCTCGGCGAAGCCAAACTTTTTACCCTCTGCTCGGTCGGCCTGTTTCGCGAATCCCTGGAAGTTTTTAAAGACTTCATCGTAACCGCGACCGGCGACGTGACCTTTGGATTCCTGCTCGGCCTGGGAGTTCACCGCGATTCCCTTCTTGTGGTCTTCCGCTTCGTCGTCCCCTGAATCAGTGCTCGCACCCTTCTTGTACGTGCCCTCGGTGGCGACGTGTTTCTCTTTGTACCGTCCGTGTTTCTTCGAGTGTCCACCTTGGTCATCGTTGTCGTAAAAATCATGATCTTTATTGTACTCATCCTTGTGATAAACATTATGAAAACCGCCAGCCTTGCGATCCAAATAGTCACCGCTTTTAGCCCGATGTCTCTGGTCTGTTTGCCCTCTAGCCCTCTCCTTGTCCCGCCTGGAACTCCCACCGCCATCGGAATGACTCGTCCTCTTCCCTCCATCCTCGCTGTACTCGGTCTTCTTCTTCTCCTTCCTACGATCACCTTTTTGTCCCCTCTCGGAAGAAACCACTTTCCGTCGCCCCTCTCGAACATCCTGAACGCTACCCTCTTGCTTCGCTGACGCGTGGCGACTGCCTCCGGCCTGATCTGATTTTCTCAACGATTGAGACTCAGGGCTCCCCTTGGCTACCTGCGGCACCGCATATTTCAGCTCCATGTGATCGACGCCGGGTGGCTTCACGCCGGTGTAATGAGCCGGAAGCATCTCAGCGTCCGGGTCCAAAGGCAGCGTGGCCAGTCGATGGTCCACGCGGGGCGACTTTATGGGAATGAACTTCGATCCATAGTCGTCCCCTCGGTTTAGATCGTCGGCTTCACGGTAAGCCTGTTCCGTCTCGATCACCTTCGGAACGTAGGTCTGCGGATTGATGACGTAAACGGTGTACGTCCTCGTGGAGGCGACGCAAACGCAGAGGATCGCGCAAACGACCCTCCATCCTACCTTCGAAATTCTCATTTTCCACGCGGTTTCTTCCACTGTTCCACGGCCTACTTTATCGCGACTGTGGGTAGTTGATCCAACATGCCGCGGGCGAATACGATTGCAGGATCTTCCAGTGGTCGGGGGACCGGCTCGCGGAAACGCGTTCAGGTGTACTCTAATCACGGCGGCCATGAGCCCGCCTCTTTTATATGTCGCGATCGAGAGCGATCCGACGCGATCGCCGCTCGCCCAGGACTGCAGAATGCATCTGGAAGTATACTCGTGTAACACGGGGCTACATGGCGTGTTTCGACAAATCTACGATCCGGCCGATTGCACCGTGAAACTCTCGCGCGCGACCTCGCCGATTCCGACAAGGTTTCGTGGGTAATTTTCCGTTCGATAGACCGATTTGAAGAAACGACCTTGCCGACGACGGAGCGGGGTGAGATTATGAAATTGAGAGGTAATTTTTATATCGATCTTGGTGTGTTTGCTGCGAATGGCTTTGTCGAAATGTGTTCGTTTCAATGATCTGTAAGATTCTTTTTGCAATAGCTGGCAGACATTTATGGTAAGAAACGTACACCGTATTTTCTGTTTCAAAATGTATCATAGAAGATATACTGATTAAATCGTCTAAATATTTTTCGTATATTTTTTGTGTTAAGTATTATTGTCAAGGATAAGGACACATGGGGGTGGGCGTAAAAGTATGGGTCATTACATTCGCGATGCATTAATTCAAATATTTCTTGAAAATTAATTTTGTGCGATTTCTGATTTAGATATTGATACAGAGTAATATAGTAGCCCGATACTTTTACATGCCTGTGTACATTGTAATACTGTAAAATAGTTAATTACTTTGAATAAGAGAAAAGCATCGTAGCATTTAATGCGGTAACAGAACCATACTAAAAATCATATTTACAACACGTATAAAATATGTATCCCACGACAGAAAAGAATTAGAAAGTCAACTGTCCAGGAAACTATTGCTCACTACTGTATTTCGTGTTTTATGCCTGTTATACTATCTGTGACTTTTTAACAAATGACTCGATAGATCTTCGGTATACCATGTGAACTCACAGCAGACTATTCCGTTCATTACGTAACAAGGTTCTTTCATCCAAATACCTCCACCTGATTAGATTCATCGTGTTTTCTGCAGTCATGGATTTGATTGAATCGTATTTTTCAGATCATGAGAGAGTTTCCGTTCGATTTTGTCGAATCAGTCGAGCATATTACGAATACAAATAATTACTGCTCGATTCGTAGTCCGTCTGCCCCTTTATGCTACCGAATTACTCTACGCAACTGGCACGCACACGAGTGATCAGGTCTAAATTACACTAGCCAATGGAAAAGAAACTTGCATTTTTGTAGTATCCATAGGAGGAACGAAACTATTTGAAATAGACACAAATCCAACGTTTATATCATTAATTCAATTACATTTTGTATTGCTGTCTTTAACATATTTCATGTTCTATTCTATAAATTTTCCTCTACAGACAATATTACGTATGTCAGTAAACAATCCACTATTGTTTATTGAATTCACTACTTATTTTGAGGAATAAGTTATCTGAAGCTAAAGATCAACAGGATATATTTAGCCCAAAGTACGTGATTTCCTCATTACCAAAAAAACACTAGATTACTTAATGTGACATCTACCAACATCAACACAAATCAATTTGGTAATCCTTCACGATACCTCGAAAGTGGACGTAACATCGCAAACCCGAGGGACTCTCTCCTTTTTTCCACTCAGATCGATGACCGTGACCAAAAGGATCCCCGAGACCTCTATCACGATCGATCGCTACACGCGCCACGCTGCCAGCAGCACATTACGCAAATCGGTATACGCGATTCCCGGGAACAGGCAGCGGCAAGTAGAGCAACGCCGTCAATAACACGGCGTACTTGAATTATCGAGCTCGACCGTGGAATGCCTGGTCCCACTCAGCAGCACAGATCCCTTATTCACCTCGGCGCAGCCTCGAATCACGTTCCTCGTGTGTATATAAAGCGAATGCCGGCCGATTGATAGACGCACTAGTGTGGATTCCGGTTCACCGGCGAGAGATAACGCCCCTGTATCGCCTGGACCATTCGACCGCAATTCTCCCGAAGCCATGTATGCAGGAACGGTGTTGGTGTGCGTGTTTCTTTCAGTAGTCGAGAACTATGCTGGCCCAGCTAGGACGCAGCGTATGACGGTTACAAAGATGAGGGCTGCAGATCTGGAGAGTTCAGCCAGCGGTTATGTCTACGACCAGCAACAGGGACTTCCGGTTTACTACCTGCAGTACAACAATCATGGAACCGGAGGCTACTACCATGCACCGGACACAGTGCAGTACGTTGCTGCACCTGTTGCTCAAGCGCCGATCTTGAAACCGTACGCGGTGGTGGACGATCTAGCCGCTGGCAAAATGGCTCACGAAGACACTGTCATTTACGGCGACAGGATCGGGCACGTGGACGGTGCAGTTAAGACAGAACCACGAGCCCCCTATTATTTGGAAAAGATCGCTGAAGAGGTAGGGAATGTGGAGGATGAAACGCATAGTACCGAGGAAAAGAGCGAAGATGAGAGTGATGGGGGCGAGAGTGAAGATGGGGATGATCATGGGGATGAGGGTGGCGATAGTGATGAGGATGTTCATGGTGACTTTGATCATTCGGTGAAGGAGTCTGGTGGTGGTTATGGTGAAGGAACTGACGAATCTTATGGACATCATGCCGATGGGAATGATGGATCTTATGGACATCATGGTGATGACAGTTCTTCCGATCAGCAAAGGTGATCGTGGCACGCATGATGACGAACATGATAAAGGTAAACTTTCTTAATCGTTAATTTATAATGTGCAGAATGTATTGAAGTTAACACAATTGATTGCTTCTCAGGATACTATAGCAAAAAGGGTGGACAGGAGAAGGAGCACAGAGACGAGGAGGAGGAGCACGGTTTCCACGAGGAGGCTGAGGAAGGAGAGAAAGGCAGTAATTACGGGCATTCTTCGTATCACAAAAAGGGGCAAAAGACTAATGGCTTCCACAACGTCTACCACAAAGACGAGTACAAGAAGGAGACAGATTTCTACGACGACGACCATAAGAAGGGTTATTTCGATAAGTTTGAGGAATTCGACAAAGGTTACAAAGCTACCGAGGGTGGCTTCAAGAAGGGCGGCCATCACTCTTCGGGCCACGATCAAGATGATAGCGGGAAGAAAGGGTATTACGACAAAGGATACCATCGAAGTCAAGATCAAGGTCATCGGACTGAAAAAGGGGAGAAATCTTATCATTCGGACTACGAGGATTACGGTGCCGAGAAAGATTCGAAGTCGGCAAAAGCGCACAAGTTCCATAAAGATTCCGGTCATCATTGATCCTTGTATTAAGTGATCATAATCGTACGGGATCATCTGTTATTGTTATATATTTATTGTAACTTATGTAATATAATAAAGGCGTAATATTATTTTGTCAAACACAATTCTTTTAATTTGAAATTGAATACTTGAACGTGTGTCTGGTTGAATGATGGATAGGAGGAAGTAAAGCTGGAAGTGACGCTTGATAATTTGGTAAAAAAATATAGTTTAAAAGCTGTTGCGTTTGTGAAATGTTCTCTATTGGAATGGCACTATTCCTGTTACACAATAGCATGCGATAACTTTCCTGGAAAGTGTTATTGACCAAATTTTTTGCGGTCGCTAATGTACCGTAGCGTGTCCAATGCAAAAAAACGAAGCCATTGAACTAACGCAAGAAGCATCGCTAACTGGCTTGTCAAACGCTGTGGATGGATTGCCAAATTGCTGTTTTGAAATAACAGTGTAACTTTCATTCCGTTGATTCCCAAAGCTGCGTTAAGGTTCAATACAATTTAACGTTTTATATTAAATTGTGTAGCAGACATAAATCTTCCTGTATCAATGTATTAAGAATGGATTCCAACATTTTTATACTTGAGAGAAATGTAATTGCAAACGTATAATATTTGTAGTGACAATTTACTAATGTTTAAATATGTTTAATAATATTAAAATATTACATAGTGGCACCATTTTGGCGTGCCAACGTATAAATATATTACTAGAGCATTCAAAGATTTGATTCGTACATCTAATTTTTCTTAAATAATTTCAAATAGTGGAAGACTAACGTAATATCCTGCATTCTATTTAACCAAAAGCTCAGACGATAAAAAAAGGGGGTAGTTGACTTCGCTCAACCTAAATACAGATCTCAAAAATACATTTATTTCAATGAAATACAAAGATCAACGTAACACGACGCCTAACAAACATAACAATCAGCAATACCATTCTTATTGTCCCTTCTTGAATCCCCACGACTTATGATCGTCGTGTCCTCCCTTCTTTCCATGCTTCGAGTGATGACTGTGATGCTCATCGTGACCACCCTCGCCCTTGTGTCCCTTGTGGTCGTGATGATGATGACCCTTCTCGAAGTGGCCCTTCTTTCCGTAATGATCCTCGTGTTCATCGTGATCGTGGTGACCTTTCTTGAAATGTCCACCCTTCTTGTGTCCGTGCTCATGATGATCGCCACCGTGGTCCTCGTGGTGTCCAGAGTCATGGTGTTCGTCGAAGAACTCGTTGTCCTTCTTGGACTCGTCTAACTTGTGCACCTCGTGGTGTCCCTTGGTGCTGTGTCCTTTACCATAATGCCCCTCCTCGTGGAATTTGTGTCCCTTCTCGCCCTTCTCGCCTTTGTGATGCTCGGAATAGTAACCGTCGTCGTGATGGTGATTCTTCTTGTGCCCCTCGTCCTCCTCGTGGAAGCCTTTGTGCTCGTCCTTGTCGTGATGGCCCTTCTCGCCTTTCTCGTGATGATGGGACGACTTGTAGCCTTTGTCACCCTTGTCACCGTGTTTGTGATGATGATCGGAATGATGCTCCTCCCCGCCACCTTTCTCGTGATGATGATGGGAAGCTGCCATCTCCATATCACCATAACCGTTTCCGATCTCACGGGCCGCCGTCATGCATTGACAGACCACGTAGACAGCGAAGAGGGCTACCACCAGACGCGACATCATGGCTGGGTGGGAAATAGAAGGACGGTACCCGAAACGTTCGACTCCGTTGCCGCGTTCAGTATGATTAATCCGGTCACCACGGCCGGTACTATATATATCAAACGGGGGAATAATCGATATTAAGGAAGCGGTGTCTTTCCTGACTCCTTAGCGCAACGTTGCGAAAGTAGCGTCTCCTTAACCCGCTTAGCCGGCAATTCGTCGGTTTCAACCGATCCGGCGCTGTCAATCGAAACCGTTACGCAATCCCGATCGAAATCAACCGGCTCTCTCGCCTGAAACTGTTCTCTACCCGGTGTGTAAACAACAGCCACCGTATTTTTCGGCTTTTGCATGATTGTGCGTCGTTGCGTAACATCTATGCGACTTTGAATCACGTAACTTGATGACGAGAATTCTCGATCGCGATTCGAAGTTTAACTTCGATAATAGACACTTGATCTGTGTGCTTGGGACCTTGGAACTTTTGGTATTAAACTGAGCTTCCATGAGTTTTCGTGTTTGAAATATTATCGATGGAATGTAAGGGTCTGTAGATTAAATGGTAGAAGTTTATCGAAGAGTTGTTACGAGATTTTGATGGTTATTTAATTTATTGGTAATAAAGAGCTTAATAAACTTGCTTCTAAGTAGAGGGTGCACGTTACTAGATGATGCTCGATCTAGGTATGACGCCGGTGTAAATAGATCACGTTGTATTTATCGACACAAATACGGTTCCCTGTTCATCGACCGCAAAACAGATCGAACAGCCGGTGCTCCTTTTATGGAATTTCTCGACACGGTTCGCCACCTCGTCTAACGCTCGTGAAACCGTGATCACGACACGCATAATCCATGTCCACAATTTTCCTGGATCCGATGGCATTTCACGCGTGGAATCCCGTGCGAAGATAAAGAGAAACCGCAAGGATAAAAGTCCCGTTCAGGTTTAATTGATGAAAGCGAGCGATCGGTTGCGCAAAGAAATTCGGTGAACGGTGAGAAGTTTATTTTTCACATTGCAAATCGGCGGTCGTTTTGTAACAATGCCTTTGTACGGCCCGTACTCTACCGGCTACAAATTGATTGGCTTTTTGTTAAAAAAAAAACCCGTATCTTTCTTCGACATTCCGTGCTCTCTTGCACATAACGTCGCTCGTTCGTTGCACAGTGAATTACTTAGAAGGAGAGCTACTTTATCAGCTGAATTACCTAGAAAAAGTGTTTATCCGAATCGATGTATCGTTGTTCCACTGTTAAACGGATGTGTACGTTCCATTTGGAGCAACCTTTCCGCCGGAATTTTGGCCGTGGGGGGCCGGTGATGTTTACGAAATATAGATCTCCTGTACTGGGAGGCGACTCGGTGTTAGGAGGAACGAAAGCGATTACGTATAAAACGCCAGTATGACGGCCGGTATATAAGGTTTGCGTTATAGCGACGTGATCAGTCGATACCACTGGTTGGACGACAAAGTACCAATATGGCGAGAAATTTGTGGCTCTGCCTCGGCCTCGCCGTGGTTTGTACATGCCTCTCCTTAGCTGGAGCTGGGGAGGTGAGGAACAAGAGGGACCTCATGATGGCAGCCAGCCATCACGGTCATCATCATGAGGATGGTGGCGGCCACGACCATCACGGTCATCATCACGAGGAACACGGTGAAAAGGGAGACAAAGGTTACAACAGCCATCATCATCACGACCATGGCGATCACGGTCACCACGGCAAGGATCATGAAAGTGGACACCACGACGAACATGGCGGACACAAAAAGGGTCACCACGACGAGCACGAGGAACACGGCAGCCACCATGAACACGAGGATGGACACAAGGGCTCGAAGTTCGGCCACAAAAAGGGCCACAAGAAGGGCGAGAAGACACACGGTTATCATCACAAGGCTCACAAGGATGAGTACCATAAGGAGCACAAGTTCTACGACGACTACCATAAAGGTGGACACCACGAGAAGCATGGTAATCATCATGGACACCATGAGAGCAAGGACGGACATCACAAGAAGGGTGGCCACCACGAATCTGGACATCACGATGACCATCATGGCAAGAAGGGACATTTCGATAAGGGACACTTCGATGAGGATCACAAAGGTTTCCATGGTAAACATGGTTACGATGAGCATCACTCGAATCACGAGGATTATGGCAATAAGAATGAACATCATGGAGGAAAGTCACATGGATACTCTAGCGGTGGTGGCAATGGTGGTGGCGGCGGCGGTCATGGAGGCGGACATGGTGGCGGACATCGTCGTCGTTAGAAGCTGCAACCGATGAAATCATTTTTCGATTTGTTGCCTTATTTGTTTTTTTTTATTCTTCCGTTGATTAATTTTAGGCACCGCCATGAAATTTGTCATGTACGATGTTGATATTCTGACGATTAAAGTATTTCGAACAATTAAATTTTGTTATGTTTTCTGCGATCTCCCACATTATATTTATTCAATAGTAACCTAAAACGTTGCAGTGTTAAAAGACAAGTTGCACGTAGGATTTTGAAACGAGAAATTTACTATAGTATACTGAATCTTTCTTTATTGTTTTTCGTACCCCAGCGTTCTATAAAAGTTACAGTAATTAAGTAAATATATTTAACGAAGATAAAGTTCTTTAGTATGCAGTAACTCTGAGGCAGATGCGAACATGAATCTATTCAGTATCTATTATCCAGGTTTATTCAAGCGTCGTTCAGGTTTATTCTCAAGTACTATTATCCAGGCTTATTCAAGTGTCATTCAAGTTTATCCAAGTATGATTCAGGGTTAAAAAAATATTATTTTCATATGTATGATTCCCTTAATGCTTATTCACATTCATATTCGTACGACCCACTATTATAAAAACTAAGTAATTTCTATAAAAAACCAAGAAATATTATTTTGCAGTTACATACTTTCTATGAAGCTCACCAAAAAATTATAGAGAAATTGGAACAAAGATAACATTGTATTCAGCAACATCATATACGTTGTACGATATTGTATTAATAATTTTGGATCTGCAAATCCGACATACGATGATTTCAGAACTAAATCAAGTTCTATGATTCTTAACTACAGATAGTATAAACTGTTACATAATAGTTTTATAACATGAAATCTACTGTATGTTTTTGATGAATTGCTATACTAACGTATTTTATGATTTATTACGCAATGAAAAAACATCTATCCTATGTACGGTTGATTATAAAAATATGAAGCTTATATGATGGGGTAGAATATTACTGTATCTATGTATTTTGTCATAAAGCAAATACAATCTTATGGAATTCGTATCTTCATACTCTTAATAAAATATTCTTTACATCCACTACACCTGTGTCTTCTATATAACCATACCTATATTATTACTGTTTATTCTTACATACCGTCGTATTTGTGACGTTTCACATGTAATGATCATTGAACGTGTCACATATGACACTGTACATATCTTTAAAAAGTTTCTCATAAAATACAAGATTTAATACAATCTATTATGACGACATATCGCTTACTGTACCACTCTCTTGACTCTCGCGCCATCTTGTCTGCCAGGAACGTTAACCCGGTCACCAAAAACCACATCGACTTCATTCCTAAGTAATAAACCGCAAAGAATCCGTGACAAAGTACGAAAACACAATTAACGGTGTGCAATTGAAATTATATAATTGTTCGACAGGAAAATCGCGGGTCGAACGAAAAACCGTTCGAATTCCGGCGAACGCTTTAAATTCCGTAACACGTGGCAAATGTGTTCTACACCGTGATGACGGCCAAAAATCGAGCCATGCTCTCTCCCTTCACAGACGTTCCTAAAGCATTAGCAACGTTTTGCACGTTTTTCCTAACTGCGACCGGCGATGCATAGAGGTACCACAGGTGAAAGACATATAAAAGTTAGATCTTCGCATATCCGCATCATATTGGCTGCAGCCGCCATCACGTCGGTTGTAATATCGGTACTTCGCCGCCAGCCTTCTTCAACAAATTCTTTCCACCGTCTTCGTGGAGGAACGACTGTGCAGATACCGTGAATTCGCGCAGCTGAGTCATAGGTAATGATAACGATTATACTTGTCTTTTCCGACCGCTTTAGATATGAAGCGTAATTTACATATACTTTTAGTAAAAACAAAATTTTCAATATTGATAATATGCACTTTAAGTAATACAATGTAAATATTCTAATATATTAGGTTTAGAAATCTAATACTGATCTGACTCTGTATTGTCAAAAGTTAAGATATATTTAATTATATGACAATCTAAACACTCGGCCTAGATGTTAGATGTAATGGATAAACCTTCACTCCAATAAATTATAAAATCTAACGATATTATTAAATTTACTGGCATCGCTACTTTTCGAAATTGAGTATACATATATATCGTTACCAAATTGTCGGAGTGAAATGAGAAATTCACCATCAACAGAAAAGGGTAGATATATTACATTTACCAAGAAACTACCGTCTATATTTCTTTCCAATCAGCAGACCAGCACCACTGCTCGTGCTTTCAGACACACATGTTTGCACTCGTGTTGAAGGTAGGAACCAGGCCAGCGGAAAATTAAAGAAAACCGATATGTTTGCCGTACGTGGAGTTCTCCCGGTGATGATGCTTCTGGCGATTTTGGCGCCCGATGTATTCGCCGCGATCATAAATTACGAGGATATGGAGACGGCGGCCACTTCTCATTCCACTCATTACGAGAAGGGCGACGGTGGCGATAGCCATGCCGGTCACAAGGGTAGTCACGGTGATCGTGGCGATCGTGGCTACAAGAACGAGCACGGAGAGGAGGAATATAACAGGGGCCACCATGACAAAGACAATCACGCTGGCCACTACAGCGAAGACGGTGGTGACAGTCGTAACTATCATCGGGATGACGATTACTACGACGAGCATCATCGGGGCGACGGTGGCAACAAGGGTGAAAGTTTCCATGAAGATGGTCGTTATGGACAAGGACACAACACCCATGGCCGCCACGAGGTGAAGAAACTCGACGAGTCTGAGAAACATACGGATTTCAACGACGAGGATTACGATTCTGGTTTCGACGAGCAATATGGCGGACATCATTCCGATTACAATCGCGAAAGCGGCGGTCACCACAAGAACGGTCACGTGGACCACGATAATCACAACAGCAACTACGGAAAAAGTGGTCATTATGAGAAAGGTAGTCATCATAATGATAATAGGGGACATAACGATGACGGTGGTCACGATGATCATTATCGTAACGAGCACCGACATGGAGATAAAGGTGATCACGCTGACAGAAAGAGTTGGGCCTTCAAATCGGGCGGTCATTAACTGTTATTTTGCTCGATTTCTGAATCAGTTAATGTTAACTACTTTATATTCTTTCTTTCGGGAAGGTGTATGTTCATGTAAACTTTGTACCCTCTTGTTTACACTTTGACACGTGGTTACTTGTTGGCAATAAAATGATATAATGTTGAATGAATTATGCACTACTTCGTAATACGTACTAATGGAACCAAAAGCCAATTCCATACTGTTGTAAGCGGACGAGGGAATCGAATCCTTAATAGGCCACCCCTTGCACTTTTGTGACGAATACTGCTCCTGCCAGCTTTAACATTAACATCTTAATGTTAAATCTTAATCTCCTTTTCAGCTAGTTCTCTATTCCAGACTAAATGTTTGTAAGAACTAAATGCGACAGGATATAAAAAAACGTCGACCCCAAAATCAAAATAAACAACCACCATTACGTTTCAATGTTGGAGAAAAACGCTGATTGGCACGTAACCCCGTAAAAACTTCTCCGCAGTTTGGCCGCGCAACGGGATAAAAGGGGGACCGAGGATAATAAAACCCGGTATGTACACGTGTTTCGCGTGTGCGTTGTTTAAAATTTCAACGCATCATAATAAATTTTTACGTTTACCCGCTCGAGGCGAGGGTCGAGCCTGTAAGCTCTTGTACCTTACTTCGGCCAGGACCCTTTTTCAAACCTGGCTCGGGCATACTTCCCTGGTGTAAAAATACACACACACACACACTAATCCATCCATACACATATTCCTCCTGTTTTTCCATTTTCTTCCCACGCAGCAGTCTCGTTCTCGTTTTATCGCTCCCCGTCCGTGTCGCAGACGCGTTCCCAGCGACACACGGATACAAGGGATGAAAAGGTGGGACGGTTGCATGTGGTGGAGAGGGGTTCGCGGCGCATTCAGCGTGGCGCCGGTTTGATTAACGATTCCGCCCCTCTGCAAATGAAATTGCCGTGGCTATTTGTGGGTCTATCTAGTCGGGATTCCGGTGCACTGGACACGGATTAACGGAGCTTTATACGCTTCTTTTAGGTCGCGGGGGATGGGGGGGGGGGGGGGGGGGGGGCAGGGGTAGTGGATCTACTTGAAATTCTCGGGCGGGTAACAATTCCTCGCCTCCATATCCTCCCCTCATCGTCACCGTGCCTGGCCATTGTTCCATTTCGTGATGCACGTACGTGTGGCTGGCTTAATTAATCTAATTGGAGTGGTCGCGCGACTGGTAAAAGAAAAGAAGGATCGCGCGCGCACGCTCCGGCCCCGCGGCTGAGTGCATGGAAGAAGCATACACGTGCACAACGGCGTGTTAAAAGGGTCCGGAAGCGTCCGACCCCCTTCACCATCGTCGCCTCTCCCCACACGCCTTTGATCGATACCCACAATAATCCTGTCGTTCGGCGAAATTAATGAGAACACTCGAACCAGCCGCCACCGACGTCGACCCCTTCTTGTCTACGGCGAAAAGAACGTCGGCGTGAGAGGAACAACGGGAAAAATTAACCGGGTCTTTTGGTTCGCGACGGGAGCGAATACGGTGGAGGGTAGAGCTTGCGGTTCAACCGCGAGAGACCCCTCGGCGGTTGCTTCGCTGAAGTACGATACTAATGATTTATTGGTACCGTGGATATAAATGTGAGTTGGAGCTGGGAATTACGGAGGTTTATCTGTGTACGATAAATTAAGAACACAAGAAAACGATCTTCCTGTTTCTCGATGTAATCGATACACCTGAAATATACACTACCGCCAAAAGTATATAGGATCAAGTCTGATGATTAAAAAAATAGCAAAATAATTATTCTACAAAGATTTGATAAAAGTAATGTACTAAAACTGATTCGAAATGACTGTACACCGATTCTATTACATTTATTATATCGTAACAGAATAAATGAGTTACCAGTTCCATCAATTACGATCTCTGATCCCATACTTTTGGCCGGTTAGTGGAACTTCAACCTTCAGATTACGTTCCTCAAATTTTCGTAATAACATTTTTACTGCATACTTACCAGCTAAAATTCGACGTGTAAACTTCGACACAACCGAGATTCATCGCAGTCCTAGAGCCCCAGTGACAAGTCGGTCAATTTGATCGCGGCAGTATTGCCTAACAGTCAGCGTGGCACCATAACACGTGGAATTAGCAATCGAGTCCGGGTGTCCTCCGTAAGACTGACTTATTATTTCCCTCAGATATCGTTGGAACGCCTGCGAGTGGATAATTCGCAGAGGGACCACCGTGTGACACGGTTGCGCAGTTCTCCGCGCGATACCCGGTAAACCGGTTTTGTTTTAATGAAATCGAGTCGCGAACGAAGCTGCTAATAGAGTTTACAACGGGGGCGCGCGCGAGCGCTAGTAGAAGGTAACGAGGACTTAGTATGCGAGCCGGGGACAATGGGAAGCGTTTAAATTAAAGGGAACGTGTAAATTCCGGGGCTGGGACGGACGAAAAGGCGCGTCGCGAATACGAAAATATAGCATACGGAGCCATATGTTTCAACGGGGCGTCGCTGTGTCTCGTGCGAAACTACCGGAATGAAATTTGAAAATTAGCCGACGAGAGAACGCGCTCGCCCGACACTCTATTTTCATCGTCGACGGTGTATATTGAATAGCGTAGCCTTTGGTAATGAATTCTGTAGATTGAAACGGTGTCTCAAGTACGAATAAATTTTGAATTGCTCGACATTCTTTGACATTTACCAGGAATTGAAATGTCGTCGATGTTTCAATGTTACGAAATATTTTGTCTGTGAACATGTAGAAACTTTGATTCCAGTTGCAATAGTTGTTCTTTTGTTGATTGTTATTATATTCTAACACTATTAAATTAAGAATTCCAGCAATTATAGATGCGAAGGAGGGTGTGTATTTTCAATTGCGTTCTTGATGAAAATTCAAATGTGTGTTAATCCTTCGAAGTATTCATAATAATTTGATCACCCACTGTGGACTTATATTTATAGGCGATCAGAACGATCGCGAAGCCCCGAACTGAAACTTTCAATTCATAAAGGAGAAAATTACGATATTTCTCTTCATGATAATGAAATACCTATTTCAAAGGAGAAATGGAATAGGGGGAGAGTCGTAGTCCGCTCACAAAGAGGAATAAAAATTATTGGCGAAAAGTAATACGCGTAGTAATAAGATAATCCTGAATTAACCGATGGGTACACCTTTGATCAAATATTCAACGAGCAGACGAAGTAATAAACGAGCCACGTAGCTGGAGCCTTCCAGTGGAAATTGCCATGATAAGACTGCGCAAGAAAACCTTTGATGATATAAGCCCGACGGATTAAGTGCTTGGACTAAGCTCACATTGTTTGCGCGTTCCACGTTCCAGTATTATTCCGGAAGCGGTGCTTGGCTGAGGTACACGCGCGTTTGTAGAATCGTCTAATTAAAAAGGATACATTCGCGTTGCACCTCGGTGGATCGATAGCCGCCATGAACAATGTAAGATTCATCTCGAACACTATTCGTTCTCTCCCTTGAAAACGATGAAGTCACATCTGTAGGGGAGAGTGGGCAGGTTTGGGTCAGTTTTCAATTAATTTGTGGTAGTGATTAAAATGAAAGAGAAACATACTTTAAATCTCTGTTCAAGGATGAAAATATACTAACTGACCCAAAACCTACCCCCTCTCCCGTATGTACTCCGTTAGACGTTTGTTGCTGCAATAAGAGAAGAAATTTGCGCTAAAAAAATATATGCAATTTGCGACTGTCACGATTCTTGGTGCAATTAAAATGATTAAATTTTCGTCTGACCCCTTTGTACACGAGTTTCGGACGAAAGTATCACGGACGTTTAATTCGCGGACGCTTGCAAATGAAATTTCCATCGGACAACCTGGAAACGTGTCGCGATGAAAAACCTTTTATCGCGTAACACAACACGGATACCAAATGCATATACGAGGGATCGCATAAATAGTAATATTGTACGGATTACAGGGGGAGAGAGGGTCGTCACGACGATCCCCGGTTCGATTAAAAGCGTTACCTGTTCCAGTGTTTTTTTTTCTCTCACCCCACTCTCGATTACTTATCCAATTTCGTTGGACACGTTGTTTCCCCGCTTGGCCCATCACGCTCAGCGAACGTTTCTTGCGTCGTGCGAACGATGCTCCCCCTGATCGCACCGTGCAAATGCGTGCACGTGTCATCGATGCGTTGCATCGGGTAGCCCGATGTAAATAAAGCTTTCGAAGGTGTGAGAGCGTACGGGGAGAGACAGACAGGGCGGATAGGTAAATAGAAAGAAACGTGATGGAAACGCGAGCGCAAACAGTAGCGCTATTAATATGAGAAATTGATAAATCGAAAATTCTGCGACGATTTAATAGGGTGCTGGATTCATTTGCACGCGATTCAATGAATACAGTATTGAAATTTACAATAATTATTCCGGAGTTGTACGGGGTGTTCGACTACTAGTGCCAGAAATTGTAAGTGATTCGATGTGCGAAATTAAGACGAAAAATAAGAATGAGAAAATTTCGTTGGTAATTTTTTACGACGTGTCGTGAAGTTGTTAAATATCACCTTTTTGGCTACAAAGGTAAGGCACGAATTAGATAGACCTTCATTATTCCAGATACAATTTTCTCCTATTTTACAGTTTACCATGTTTCAATGTATTTAACATGCTATTTAGTAAAAGGAAATAAGTTTTCTTAACCTTTACATTTTCCTGTAAATACTAAATATAGAAATTATACTCTAGTTTTACCAGCATTTCGAAGTTAATCTACATTTTTTTAAATAAATTTTTTTATAACTACCGTTCGAACATTGGGTCTTCATAAGTAACACTTGAATATATCGACGTACAATATCCAAAGGAGATTGTAGAAATTAACCGCTGATAATTCATTACGCGGTCTCGCAACGCAATGGTGGGATCATATCCACGGAACAAATCAATCGACGAGATTTGTATAATACCCTGAGAACATTGTCACGAATCAGATCCGCGATTTGAATGGCGCGGCGGGCCCGCGCAAACAAATTAGAGAATCATGCTCGTCCCCGTAGTCGGCCGTAAGTCGTAAATGCACGGGGTTGATATTATAATCGAATAATGGCAATTACAAGCGACCCCGGGTACACGACGAAAATCCGGCCGAGCATCTGTTATTTATTTGCAAATTTCACCGCGTTAACTCGCGGCACGCGTCCAGCGGCGCATTAATATCCGAGAATCAATTGAATTGGTAACGCGACCGATTAAACTCTATCACCGGCGTATTACTGACTTTCTCGGTGCGTGATTGAAATCATTTATGTATACGTACGCGACGGCGTACGATCGGAAGCACCGGAACCGTGTTCGTCCGGAAACGGCAATCGAGCTCGACGGAAATGTTTCAGACTTTTGGTATAGACAGAGGTATAGATTATGTTCGAGATAATTTTGTGTCCTTCTTCCTGTGCATTTGTATTCGTCATGTGAAACAATAATAATAGTACTTTTTTAAGTGGTTGTGATTGGGAAGAGGAGAAGAATCAAGGGAGGAATAAGGTTACGAATTTCCGTGAGAAACGAAGCAACGCTTTCCGGTTTGACTGATGCCAGTGTTATGAGGCAAGCATGAGTCGAGGAGAAACTTATATGCACCGGCCGCAAGAAAGGTGAAAAGAGAGCATATCGAGGCGGCGCGTGGCCTGTTTTTTCGCGCTCTACTATGTTCGTCTCTATGTCTACATAATGTATGTATTTACACAATGGCCCGTAGCATAATATATGGATCCGCGATACATTATTCCGCCGTCGCTTTGGAAAAACTTAAGACTGACAGCTGTGAAATATTTGCGGCGCTCGACGTGAAAGAGCGTAAATAATGTTCCATTTTAAATATTTTTGTAGATTGCAGACGTACCGGATAAAAGGATAGAATGTTCAACGAAATATTAACGTTACACCGAACAATGGTGAATAACAACTTTAAAAGGACCGTTCTTAATAATACGATATTCGCACAGCAGTAACTAAAATCAGAAAAGCACATTCTTCTCTTCGTTTTATAAAAACGTCAATTTATTACTTTCACTTAACAACCTAACAACAACATGCAGACAATTCTCTTAATATCGATTTATAACATCGGAGTATAACAAAATTGTACTCAACAAGTATTCAATTCAGGATACTTGCAACGATCAAAGGCACGAAACGCAATATTAGGAAAGATCCATCTTCCAGTGTCCCCGATAAGTCTCGATCTCCTCGTCTCAACCCTTGTGCCCCTTATTGTACCCAAACTTCTTTCCAGAATGCTGATCGCCCTTCTTGCCGTAAGAATCATGATGACTGTAGTGATCATCGTGTCCATGCTTCCCATGATGACCCTTGTGCTGTTCGTCCAGATGTCCCTTATCGTGATGTCCCTTCTTGCCATGGTGATCCTCGTGATATCCGGCATGTTTGTGTCCGGCCTTCTTGTGTTCGCCTTCTTTCTTCTCATGGTGTCCATGAAAGTCTCCGTGTTTCTTATGATGGCCTCCTTTATGATAATCATCGTAGAACTTGTGCTCCTTGTGATACTCGTCCTTGTGGAACTTGTTGTGATAGCCTTTTGTCTTGTGGCCTTTTTTATGGCCCTTTTTCTCGCCGAATTTGCCACCTTTGTGCCCTTTCTCGCCCTCGTGGTGCTCCCCGTACTTCTCATTTTCGTCGTGGTGTCCCTTCTTGTGGCCACCGTGCTCTTCGTGATGGCCAGCCTGATGTTCCTTGTCGTGCTCACCTTTGTCGGTTTTGTCGTGATGGTGATGGCTCTTGTAGCCTTTTTCGCCCTCAGCACCGTGCTCCTCGTGGTGGTCCGCGTGATGGCTGTGCCCACCGCCTGATTCGTGATGTTGGCCTTGATGACCCGAGGCAGCTGTCGCGAGATCGTTGAAATCTTGGCCGCCCTCGCTCAAACCGGAAGTCTTCGACGGGACCGGTTGATGAGCGTTCGTCACATCCGTCTCTGCATCGCGACGAGCCCGATAGCCGGTCAACTCTCGCGCGTAGCATGCCTGCACCAGCAGGCAAAGTACGATGGGACAGACGACTCGTAGCATCTCGATCTGCTCTCGATCATCCGACTGATGATCGACGTCCCCACAGGGATACTTAAATATCCACGGTTCGATTGTTCCGTCACGGGGTCGGCTTGTGTTTCCATCGATTCCGCTTTCATCCGCGCGACCGCAAGCCTTCCTGGACGCTCGATCGGTACCGACGAGTGGGGAGGACCTTTCACACTTTCTCGCGCATGTAATGAAATGGTCCGCTGTTTTTGACGTAGACGATTTAACGGAAAAATAAATGTTATCGGACACCGTTGGTCCATGGGTCGGTGGGTGATGCAATTGTGATCGATGGTTCTCGAAAGTGTTGTAGAATGAACGATGAATAGCGTTCGGTGTAGAATCGGGGAAGAGGATCGGTTGTAATTACTCTGGATGGATCGATCAAATGAAGTATCGTTTATTACCTTAACAATTCGAGTCCGAGATAGATTTAATGGTAATGAAATCCTAAAACTATCTACAGGTATTAAAATGAGGTTAGAGTGTGCTGAATTCTTGGAAAATAGAAATTATTTTTCTTATTAATATTAATGAGGGAGACATGTGGCCAATAGTAAGCTTGAATAACAGCAAGTGATTAAAGGTCCAGAATTATCTCAGATAAGATAGTTGATATCATTGATGTACACTCTCGTCTTATTCGAAATGTCCGATCACGTACTTATATCTATTCATGTACGAGGTACACGAACGTGGACAGTATCCAAACGACTTATAAAATCTCTACCCAGCCTCCTGGCTAATATACACCCGAAGATCTTCGTTACAACCAATCAGTAATTCCTTCCTAATCGAATTTGCCCAATCATTTCCGCGAACTATTTCCCAAACATTTAATATCTGGCTAACACCTGTGTCCAAGATTCGCAACATTTTCTTGCCCATTTCCAATATTCTCTGCAAAGTGAACGCTTCAACGTACACCAACCAGTGCATGACCAGGTCAGACCTCGACAATATTCTCTTCGTAGCAACTTTCTAAATGCGACAAAGACGAAATCGATAGCGTTACATAATTTATCGAAATGCCTTGGCCCGTCGATCCTGAAACAGAGCCCCAGCGATGGCGTTGTCGAGCGCGGGCTTTCGATAAATAGAAGCTCACGCAAAAGCCCCGTGAGCCTGTCGATCGATGATCGAAGTCGTGCGCGGCTAACCAGGTGCTCGTACGTACAATGAATTTAATTAACGGCATGACGAACGAGCTGTATCGCGATCCACGTTTCGCTGATTTCCGTGGCGCGTCCAGCGCGAAGTGTCCAGCCATCGATAAACCGCCTGATGTCGTCGTTAATCGTATTACGCGCGACATAAATTCGCGGCCTTCTTTTCCTCCACCTCCCTGCGCTAGTAAACGTCGCGCTATTTATATCGTCGTAAGCCAAAAACAATTTATGGAATTTTACAGACGTCGGGGCGACCCGTATATCACGCGACCGATGACCGCCGCCAGTTGCCCTCCCCTCACGATCGTTTCGCTAACTGTTCGACCATTTGTCCCGTTTCTGCTGACGGTTTTATTCGCGCTACGTCGCAAAATCTCGGGACGATCCCGATATCTTTAAGATATTAGCTTCTGGGTCGGCGTGTATCTTCGCGGTTACATTCGTGGAACCGAGCACATTCGGGTTAGGAGGTTCGAGTGAGTGCTATTTGATTTAGCATCGGGACTCTGGGCTCTCGATCGCGTAGGTACCATGTGACGCTACGGTTTCAGGATTTGGAACGTTGCCCTTAATACAATCTTACGATGTTTCGCAGGAATCTGGTTTTGAATTGAGACTAGCGTTCCAGAGTTTCTCGATCAGAATGGTGACAACCTCGAGACTTTCATAGAAGAAACAAACTTCTGTGATTGAACGGTAGAATCTAAAATTCATGCCACATGAATATAGTATTATCATACAGTTAACTGATTCTCGTATAAAAACTCGACTTACTTCAATTATGCAACAGGAAGAAATCAGGAGAGTCCTTATTAAAGCTTAAAATCCGTACCATAAATCACGTGCCCGAAAATAGAGAGTCATCCGCTCGGATCGTATCATGAATCTCCAATTTCCACGTCTTCGGTTAACTTCCGTATAAAATGGTTTTTACGTAAGCGTGGCAAGAAATCCAATCCCATAATGGTCGACCGCGGAAATTAATCAATATCAGCCCGGCTAATGAATTGATTCCAGCCACCGGGACGTCGACAGTGGTCCTATGGTGATTAAGATTCCCGCGAAGTGTCCAAGAATAATCGAAGCTTCAGGTCTCGAGCATAGCGATGGGTGGTTTCCGTGAACTCGATACAAAATCGACTTTTCTTTCGGCAGCTACTTATTCCGCGAGGCGCATCGCCGTCCACGATATCTCCATTGCAAATCAGGAAAACCGAATTCGCAGTTTGAAACCTGTGATCGATAGATTCGGGCTCTTTACGGCCTTATTTGGCAGGCTCTTCGGGCTAGAGATTGGCTCCTCCGGCGTTGGCGCTGCATAATCAAGATAAAGATTGGTTACTGCCCAGGCTTCCAACGGGCTGGAGGGATTCCTTTAGACAGGGGGAAAACCGGATACCGGAGGCTCTGCCAAGTTCGATTTGGACTCGGTATCGTCGTAACGGAGATTAGATTAGGTGGCGTTCCCTTTGGACCTTCCAGATGGAGAGATTGCTTTGTAAGCAGATCCAACGGACCCCCGGTTGGATCGCGCGACCGGCGAAAAGTATCCCAATCCCTCCCTTCGTTTGGGAAAGAAGAGGCCACCGGCTATTAAATTAAGTCTTCAACTGCCGCTGGTTACACGAAAACAGTTCCACTAAGTGCCGTTGCGTTTCTGCCCTCGAGAGTTTCTTTTTTACTATAGATGGAGACCGTCTTTTGTTCCCACCTTCATATTCAACCCACTGACTAATGTACTGGCTTTTTAACGAAATGAATTGTATGTTAAATTCGAACAATTTTCACCGCGAAATTCGGTACAGAAAAATGATAACGAATATTTGCGAAGTAGCTCATGACCTGATCATCTTCCTTCGATCTAGCAACTAAGATAATCAGGGGGTTTTATGAGATATTCGAATTCCTACAGAAATATGAAGCGGTCGATGTAAAAATTCATTCAATCACAACAGAATTAAACTCTCCCGAGGACAATACAACAAAAGAGTACCTAGTCACTTTCCAGTGAATCTTTCATTGCCTCCAATTTTCTTTTTCAAGGGGCCAAGTCTCTTTCCCCGCGAAGCGTACCAACCACTGCAACGTCATTAGAGTCCTGGATACCCCTTCCATAGATTTGCTTAATTACCAGTGAGCCCCGTGTCGTTCGTCGACGAGGTGAGGCAACGCCACCCTCTCGCGACACTCGGAGTGCAATCAGTTGATGGCTCGACATCGCTCCCTTCACCCTTTTCGTCACAGCAGCGGAAACTGCTTCGCATTCAAGGCTAACGCCTCGTCCAACCAGCCCCGCTTCCTCCCACCCACATTCTTCTTTTTTCCCTGGCGTGGAGCAAGCATCCCTTACCGTGCTCTCAGCCAAGGGTGGGAGAATAAAATCGTCCTGACCACGGTCCGATGAACAATGGGACACAGTTCTGGCCTCCGCTAATGAAATTGTTTCCTAATTTAGATCCACTCCGCGGTCTGAAAGCGGAACTGGCACGAGCTCTTCTAGCTGAAAGAAGGGTAACTAACATTGACATTCGACGATTCGGGTTGACTGTTCCGCACGCGTTGCGAGGCGATTCCAATTAAGCGCACTCGAACCCGGATTGCCCGAACCAGCTCGAAATCCTGATCCTATCCGTGGACCGTTTTATTCCCCGCGGGGATTGCGGAGTTCTATTTCCAGGTGAGTACTTTTTTTTTTTGGATGGAATCGAAATTGTCTTGTTTGTGAGCTAGTGAAATGTGAAATTAAGTTTGAATCAAGGATCGGGTTTGATAACAGCGCGCTACGCGCTTTGGTGAGCCTGCAGGTATTTACAGTTACCGTTATATTGACTTTAGATTACAATACATCCTCTTCTATGATTATATTCGTTCCTGTTATAGGTATTGTAAGAAAATCATAAGCATCGTTATAGTAAGATATGGAACTGTCAGTCTACGATATTTTTATTTTGATATGCTTCTTACAATTAGTTGGAACAGGGCCGAGAATAAACTCTAGTAACTGTTTGTTCTACACTTGGATATATTGGATTGAAAGGACACTGATGTCCTTCACAATTCCTTTAACACTAATTTTAATAAATACAGTAAATTATCGATCAGTGATCGTAGGCTCCTCGGCATTGAGAGTTCAGACGTCATCCCCACCACTAGGACCTTGACAGCTGCTATGGGGGACACCCTCAGTGATAGGGATGACGTTTGAACAGTCAGTACCATGGAGCCTTCGAGCACTTATCGATGATTCACTGTATCTTGTTTCAATAGACCACCAAATAAAACATTCTATTCCATTCTATCTCCTCTGTCACTTCAAAGGGATTACAATTTTCTTGTACCACCGCTGCACAAGCCAGTAATTTATCAAACGCGCCTAGTTAGCGATCAGCATCCTTTAACAAGACGTACACACAACGATACAGTGAAAACGGTGTCGGTTTCACCTGCATAGGACGTCGCAGGTCACCCAGGGGAGGAGGGAACGTGATTAGTACAGCCCAGAGTCGACGGGCGAAGAACTCGCGAGGGTTTTGTGAAAAAGTAGGCTCGGTCACGCGAGCCAGCACCGGCGTCAGGCTGATTTGCCGCGGCGTGCAACGCTTGACGCCGCGTCCTCGTGCGGCGAATTCGTGCCCGGTAGATTTTGCAATTATTTATAACGAGGAAACTTCCGTGACGCCCACGCGGCCATGTCCGTTAATTGCGCGGGATAATTATTGTTAAACGCCGCGCGTGTCAAAGGATGATTCCGCTGTCAGCGTGGGCCTCCTCGAATTTTCTGCTTGGTGGATTGGAGAACAACACTCCGACGACGTCCGTCATGCGGGAGCTCGTGAAACTTTTTCGCTGTGGTTCTTTCCTGGAACTGACTGGATTTTCGAACTGTGTCACGAGAATTTCCGTATGTTTGTGTAACATCGGTGGATTGTTTTAAAGAGCTTCCTTGAGAATTAGTTGATATTGTTAGATGTAGCAATAAATAACCAATGATTCCTTTTAGCCCTCGTCAGAGTACATTCTTACGGTGAATAAACAGTTTTCTTATTTTTAATATTTCCCTGATTGATGTCGACATTTCATTCTCGGTAATTCAAAACTTGAAAACTCGTCGACGCTATAAATACTGTGAACTTTATAAGTTCGGTTCAAAAATATATTAATGTCAATGGTTGGCAGTCCTGCATCATATTTTAAATACGCGTCCGGCGTCGAGCTTAACATAGAACTGGATCGAAAGGAACGTGGCGTTGAAAGGTGAGAAATGTAATCACGATGACTGGTTATTTCAGAAAAAAATTGATTCCCTGTCGAGTCTATTTTTTATCTCCCCCGGCACTGCCGTCAATGCTCTAAAGGCAGTAACTCCGGATAAATCCTGTCACGTTGATCCGTTCCGACGTGATCGAACGGACCTGAAATTAAAAAAAAAATATTGTTCCACATTCATACTTTCGTTTTCGTCTGTATTCTACTAGATAGCGGTACGGTTTCTGAGGATGAATACGAGAATGTGGGCTTGCTTGTCGTGTCTGTTCTCGATATACATTGGCTGCCAATAATCGACCGTGGACAGACAATGCTAATGTAACGAGCCGCGGCGGACAACAGGTTCAAGTGATTAATTGCAATTTAGATCGATTCATCAACGCGATACGAGCGTAATACCATTAAATTCTGTAATAACAACGTGCCGCCTTTAGACGGCTTCGGAATTAAGCGGGGATGCATTCGTTACGGAATAAACGAGACTCAGTATCGAAATGATTAGCGCGTGCATGTGTTGTTGCAAAACAACAATCGGCAGCTTGAACTCGATCCCACACCCCCGGCCGTCATGGAATTGTCGAGTCTTAACAAGCCGTATTATACGACGATGTAATTGCATTAAACTGTACCTATTGATTTTTGATAACGTCACACACATACACGCGTGACCGTGTTTAGGTGTTCGTTACACAACACTTAATAACAATATCCCCCCCCACCCCTGTTCGGAATTCTCGGTATAATGCACCGATCACAATTGCATCGCAAGACAAAGCGATCGATACTGCCATTATCGAAAGTCGCTTTACGATGCAGCTTGAAACGATTACGTTTCAAATGTCGATGCGATTGTTCCCCGTTGTAATCGTTCGTTTTTAATTGATTTCTCTTCAATTGATATCGTAGGTCGAGCCGACCAAACAATTGCCATCGATATTTCATACAAATATGGTTTTTCAATTTCTGTAACTCTTTGTGCATTCAGCTCGTGAATTCGAGTGGATTTCAGGTTTGATTTTGTACAATATATGTTACATTGTGACGTTGAAATATGATTAATTTGCATTTGGTGTATTCCTTGCGTGCGTTTATTTAATGCATGTTTTCAGATTCATTCAACACGTAACATGGTTATACGACGATTATATACAGGTACTGATACATTGTATTAATTACTATATGTACATCATATTTCGACGATTACATAGGCAAACGAATAGTCAAGAACAAACCGAATTCCCCACCTCCGCAATCGTCTCGCGATTCGCGAGCTTCGTACGAACATTCACGAATATCCACGAGGATCCTCATGCCCACAATATCCCACCTAATTATCGCGGATGCGTGTGCAACGATCCCCACTAATTTACGATCGAAGGAGCTCGAGGTGAACTGATCGAGCAGCACTCTAAGTCTGGAAGCGATCCAGAAAGGTCACGCATAGGATCAATCACCGTTAGGCGAAAAACTGTACGTATTTGAGAAGTCAAACCGACTTTGTGTTCAAAGCAAACCGTCTCTGACATCCTCACGCGTACGCCCCTCAAATCGAGGAGTCACGAGCACAAACCGCGCCGTGGCATAGTCGATACGAGACAGACCGTGACGGACTATCGGACGATACAACATAGAAGTCACAAAATTAAATTCTCTTGAAATATTAAATATCTATTAACTAGTAAAACCAGTAACTTTGCAACTAATCCACAAATAATCTATCTCTTGAATTCTTTGTGATCTTTGTTGATCGCTTTTCGCAAAGTCACCCCTCAAAATCAATACCCACTTGATCATCAATACTTCCTCCTAGATTAAATACGTAAAGCACACCCATTAATTCGTGACAGTAATAGAAACCCGTAACAGAAGACGGCCATTTGGCCCACGATTAATAATAATGTCCTCCCCGGTGCCCATCACCGTCGCCATAGCTTCTCGAATAGGAGCTGTGGCTTTCATAAGAACCGTTTTCCCCGTCTCCAGCCGTGTAGCCTCCACCATGACCGTAACTCGAGGATTCTGGCCCATGATCCGTATACCGTGCACCATCGCCCTCACTATGGCCTCCATGATCACTGGCATCGACGTGCTCGCCGCTGTGACCGCGAAGATCCCCCTCGTCGGTCGTATAATGACTATCGACGACAGTACCTAGACAAAGTTTATAATGAACCTCTTGAACAGGGGCCACGGGAACAGTGTGTTCAACCGGTAATCGTATTAATTTCGCGGCTACGGCGTTTTTTTACTTCAAGGGGCGACGAAATTTCGAACGATACGAAATAGTCAAAGGGATTGTGTTACGGCCGTTCACGGTGCGTTGAACGATACGACGAAATAATTAGTGAAATGGCTGGACTGGTGAAATTAATACGAAATGAACGCGTCGATACGTTCGGTTAATATTATTATCGAGACCGGTGTAATTTTATCGAGGATCGATTGAAGTTGCGGAAGAAAAACTGCGATTGACGTTCGCGGAGCTGTACACCGTCGAGCACAGAGCCCTGGAACTGCTGCGCGAAAAAGAGTTTCCCAGCGAGAAGTTGGAGAAACTTTTGATGGATGGGCCGGACCGTTTTGTGAGAATGTAGACGGAATTTGTAGACTTTGGAAGATTGAATGTTAGAAAATGATAAATATTATCCGATAATTATTATAGGAATTTCAAATTTTTGAAATGATCAAGAATTATAATATTCACGATTCGATTGTAAATTAGGAAGTTCAAGAAAGTCTCTTCTAATGTCTCGTCCAACTCCATTCTGCATTAAATATCACAAACACAGTGTAGATATTATTTAGATTCCGATAAATATCTAATAAATTAAAGCAGAATATGTTCTACAATACTCATCTACATTTCCTGCTATTCATTACCCCTGTTTTATATTAACGAAGTAATGAAAACCCATACGTGTGGACTGTGACGAAATTCCTCGAAATAATATGCTAGCTAGCGAACCTGCCGGAATCAAATTGGCCAGGTGTCCAAATAAAAAAGCGCCGAATACATGGAAAATAAAACGGAAGCTACCGCTGCAACGTAATAAAATTGCGACTGTAAGTACAGATCTTACGGGACCACCGCCACGGAAGCCTGGTTCAATTAAAAATTCATGTGCTCTGGTTCGCAAATTAGCAAGCTGGCGTCGTTTCCCAGCTTCCCCACCTCTCCCCTCTTGTCTTCCCATAGTTACCATGCAATTACGCGTTCTACATTGTACACTTTTCGCTCTACCTGCGCCCTCGTGATCATCGCCCTTCCCAGAACCGGAGCTGGCATCGTCGTCGTGGTGGTGGTGGCTACTTTTCTTGTCAGCATTCGCTTTGCCATAGGCAACGTGCTTCTCGAATGCGTACTTGTCGCCGTCCCGCTTGTGGAAGGTGTCGAGGGTCTTATAACCGTGATTGCCCTTGCTATAGGTCGCCTCCAAGTAACCCTTCTCGCCCTCGGCGTCGCTGCCGTACGTCTTGTAGTATCCGCCCTCGTCTGATTTCCCTAAAATCCACCGTGTTATTCGTCCTCGTTATCGTTCGCAATACTGCCGACACCGCAGAAAAAAAAACGCTCCTGGGAGAACCCTCGAGCTCCGTTATTTTCGGGGAAATCTCTTCTTGAAACTTCCTTCGTTGGACTTTTCTCCAGACTTTTTTTTGTGCGCGAAGGAATTTTTGTCGTGGGTGTGTGGAAATAACGTTGTAGAAGAAATAAAGTTCGTTTAAGAGGAGTTGTTTTTTGGGGAATACTAACGCGTATTTTTCTAGTATATTTTGGGGGATTTAGAATTGTATGTGCAGTCCTCTGAAATGATACGATATTTTCTGTTATGTGGTTACATTGATCGAATTTCTGGAGTTTGTTGGAATGCATGGACTGCGGATTTTATCATAGAATTAATTGAGTATTTAAAGGTAAACAAATTGTTCGGATTCGTAGAGCAGTGTTTGTTGTGGCCTGCTAAGAATGCACGAAATATCATGCGATAATTATTGTCCCCCAGGTTTCATTTCACTGTTTCCCAAAAATAAGTACGCCTGAATTTCAATATACTAATGTGAATTCGTTAATCATTTAAACAGAATCGTTGATAACTTCCAGCACAGCAGCACATTTCGGAATCGTTGATGAATTTTAATTGCAAATTCCGTATTGTCGTTCACACTTTCATTCTCGTGAAAATGGAGAAAAATGAATATTAAATGTTTTCAGGAATCAAATGTTAATTATATTACATATATACGATACCTAACTATTTAATTCTCGTTTTTACGACACAATTTCGCGCTAGGGTGTACAATATTAATGAATGCATGACCTGGAAATTGTCGATAAATAAACAAGAAAGAATCTATTTAACATACCAGATCCATTTTTCATACGTTGTTTGGGCGATCGATTATTTTCCGGAGCGTTTCCTTCACCGAGAAGATCTTCAATTTCCGTGGCGATCGCCAAGGGCTCCGTTTCGCGAACGATCCGACGAAGGAAATCGACATCTTTCCAAGATGGCCGTGATTCGCCAGTCACGTGCTCGGTAAAGACGCAACAGACGAAAAGGGCCAGCACAATTGGTCCGACACGCCACATGTCGTCGATGCTCCTGATTCACTGATATCGATCTCGATTGTTTGTTGGATCAACTTCGTCAGAGGCTGCTTTATCCGCCTCCTCCCACTCGACTCTGTCGTGAATTTTTCTTCGCGAGCAGAAAGGATTTCGAGGCAGATGCCGGAGAACCAAGACATTTCACAATGACCACGGGACTACCGAGTTTTTGAATGGATTGCAACTTTTTTGCTCCCAACTTCGTAGTTTTGTTGCAATGGGATGAACTGAAAAACGACTTGGAATTTGTTTGTGGTTTCGAATTGGTTAAAGTTACAGCAATGGCTGATGTGTCGAGTCATTTAGTAGGCAGCTACATTTGGTCATCAGAAGTCCCTTCTAAAGACTTAATTAATCGTTTAATTATTTGACCATAATTTGTTTAAAACTGAACCGTTATTGGAACAATGCCTTTATGAGTGATGAAAATGATCATCAAATAAAAATCGACTCTTTTAAAATTAAATTGAACCGATACGTATTAAAACCAACACGAATCGAGGTAAATAAATTAAATTAACTTAAAATGTTCAGGTTAATAGCCCGTTCGATTTAATCAGCCGGAATTTTACGAAATTATTCGAAATCCGGAAATAATATCATACGCTTCATAAAAGAAGGCACAAACCGTGAAATAATATTAATATCGAACCTGAACAGGAAATCAAGTGACTACCCTCTACAGTATTAAAAACATGTCCTGACAGTGTTCATTAAAACGCACCAACTTTTCAAAACTACACAGACAAGTAACAGAAACAGATATTAATAAGTTGAACTACGATAAACATTTCTCGGTATCGTATCCACGAAGTTCCCAGGAATGTTATGTCAGCCACGTACAGACCCTTGGAAACTTCACGACTTCCTCCTTAAATAAATAATTCCCCGTACAATTAGACGCGTCGGTATACCAACAACCACGAAACGTCGATAAAGATTTCTCTTGCTTCATCGTCCCAAACAACTTTCGAGAAGTGTCAACCACGTATCAGTGCAGGGAACTTTCTATCTCCTCGGGAATTGCTTTCTGCAGAAGCGATCTTGACGTAAGTTCTTTGCTTCTCCACCGTTGGAAAGAGACACTGCATCCAGTGTCGATGGTTCCGAAGCTTCTTCACGACGATGGAACAAGGAACGTCCCGGTTAGAACGGATGAATTGTGTCCGCGGGACGCGTGCCGATCGAGCGGTTTCACGCTTTCCACCGTGCACCGTACACTCGCCGAGATCGAACGGCGAACAATCGGATGACATAACGGCTGGGCGTGAAAGCGTTCACGGTTTTTACCATCGGACGGATTGACACAAGACCTTCTTGCGTGAAATCGTATCTCGGCCGTGCATTGTCTCACGTCCGTCACGGAGACGTTTCCCAGCCAGCCGATTATAGTGTTACGCGAGCCCCGCTAGAACACAATGGATTGACCATTGTTTGGCCGTTTTTGCCGAAACGGTTGCTGGCTCGTTGCGAATTGAGTAACGCCGTGGTTATGTTGACTTCGTAATAATATATACTGGGCGATTAGAAAATGTTTCACTGATGGTTTCCTCGTTTTGAAGTGAAGGATGTTGTATTAATCAGAAAAATGGTAATAGTTATTAAATTCAAGGAATTGTAATGGAATCCGAACAGTGCACGAGGGTTAAATGGGCAGACAAATTTTCTTGTCACGGAATTGAATTAAATATTAACAATTGCACCGAATCGGATTGTTGTTATTATACATACTTATGTGCCCAGGCTATGCATCCGTATCGTTCCACGTTTTGTGCTCGATACTGGAAACGAAGGTTCAGATTACCCTGATTTTATTAGAGTCTAAGCGAAATTGCGATCGTGCCTGCGAATGTTTACGCAGCTATAAACTTTTACGGTCTGGTTTATAGGAACTGGAATCGAACGGAAGCTTTGTTATTCTATTAAGCGTTCTGTGTCGACCTTCGAATAAAATCAAAATCTCGATGCACAGTAACATACATTCAACGTGTACAAATCGAGTGTTATCAATAACTGTGAAATATCCGCAGGTTCAGGCAATCGTGATGTTCATCTTGCGACCCAACGAAACAACAGAATGTAAAATACGCGAGGCGATTTCTGAAATACTACGGTATGTAGTTATTAAGAATTTCTACTTTGAATAGTATGCGTGACAGGGCCAACGTTCGGGGATAAAATGTCGTCGGGGGACGGAATGCCGTTCATGGGACAAGGGAATTTCAGCCATCCGCCGAGCATAATTCTTTTTTTCCCCATTAAAAAAAAGGAAGGAAGAAAATGGGAGAAAGAAGTGGAGGACGAAGAAAGGAAGCGTCAGAGGCGTCGACATAATCAAGCTTAAAACCGCGCGAACCACCAGCCGCAAGCCCGACTAAGCTAAGCGTTCTGGATGGTTGCTACGCCAGCCACCTTCCATCGAGATAATCCGGTAATTTGAAAATCTTGGACGGAGTGTAACTCCCTGGAACGGCTTGGCCTTGTCCGGACCGTTCTTTCCGCCATTGTTGCGCCCCCATCCCACCCCTTGCGACTGCCATACCATGGAATCGGGATTCGGAGCTGATGAAAGACCTCAGAATCAACGGAATCAAAAGCGTATTAACCTAATTAATATGGAATGCCTAATCCGTTAAATTTCGTGGAATTTAGTGGATAGTAGAGAACTGGAACTATGGAAACCTAACCTGGAAATATGGAAACGTTGGTCGGTGGGAAATTGTGAGAGAGTTAAGTAATTTCGCGGAACTTCCGGGAAAAATTTATCGTTGGTCGAGGTTATTGCGTTGTTCGAATTTAAATGTTTACGTTCCACGTGTTTCTGTACGGCTGGACGACCCGAAATGCTTTACAAACTTTGACAATCTGGGAGCTTGATGATTGTTCTGGATATTTCGAGAATACACGTGTGGGCGATTTAGAAGTTTTCGGAAACGATAGTCCTGGCACTTTCGAAATTCGAAAAGCATCGATGCTCTAGCAAATTGCGAAATTCTCCCTGTCGAATTAAGTAGTTCTCGAAAATATGTATTCGAACATACTCGAACTTTTCAACTGCTTTAGAGCGCTAGTCTATAACTCCAGGATCCCTGAAAATAGAAAGATCGTTAAATAAGCTTTGACAATTTCAAGAAACTAATTGAAATTCGAACATTTCAGTCACCAGATGTTACTAGATAAATAACAGAAATTTCCGTAAATTCATAGGATCCAAACGAAAATCAGAAACTCGAGATCTGACAGGGACTCAAGACCAGAGTAGGACTTCTTGGAACCATCTTACGGCTGGGCGGACGGTAAATCTCGTCTGGATGCGAAATATTTGTGGTATGTAGATTTGACGTATACATATATGTAATCGATAGCAGTTGGATTGTTGGCGGAGCAGACGTTCTAATGTATTCGGCGCCTCGAGTATCGACGTACACACGTGTCGTTGCACGTACACGGTACGCCTGAAGTTGCGGATGGATCCGCCTACGAGGAAATAGATCCGCGGTGGTTGCCTCGCGTTATTTCGGAAGAATGCCTGTCGTTTTCCGAGGACGTGTCGTGTATACGCGGGGAAAGCTCGATCAGCAGAATTTTTCCGTTCGGTTGGCTCGCCAAGCTCTCCCAGCGAGCGAGGAAAACGCTTGAACTCGCGGATAAATCGCGAGCGATGTTTACTTTTAATTTCATTACACCGGAACGGACTTAGTGGTTTTAATAAAGCGTCGCTCGTGGAGAAATTGCGACGCTCCGTTTCCCCGCGAAACGCATTCCCAGGGTTTGTCCCTTTTATTCCCCATTCGTACGTGCAATTTTTAAACCGTGGACAATTTATTCTGTTTGCATCTCTGCAATACTTGAATAGCGGGATGGGTAAATACATGAACGTTGCGTCGTGTTTTTGTAGTACCGTAACGAAGTGATTTTGTGTTGAGGAATGAGTCGTGGATGGGGATGGAAATCTTCAGTAATAGTTCATTGGTTGAATTTTAATGATGAGTAATTGATTTAATTGTATCTCTGAAAATAAGACAATTTGGTTAAAAAATTTAGCCTGGTCTCGAAGTGTGTACTACTATTGAAGCACTACTGCACAAACTTCGGTAATATGGAAGAATATGTTTTTAGATCTAAGAGCATGGTAACAATAATAGATTCTAGTGCCGTGTGATTGCTTGAAGTCTGAAGAAACTAGAATAATATCTCGAAAGAAGATTAGTAGTCGACTGACATTCAAAAAACTTTGTTCCACAAAATTAGCAAGACAATAATGCATTGATTCGTGTTTATTATCTAATGGTTTAACGATTGACTGTTACCTTCCTCATGACGGGAGCTCCAGAAAAATTGTCGTTCGAGGAACGTATAATAACGGTGCTGGATTTTCACGTCAGGTTTTGACGATCCCCTCAAACGAAGTACAGAAAATTGAGGAGTTTGCACGAGCAAAGAACGCGCTGATTAATGGGTATCCGTTATCCTGTTCCCCAGGAATGACAGGGAAAAATAAAGCCTTTGGGATAAACGTTGATAAAACCGTGCAGTTCGTTTTGCAATGCTCCCCGATATATCGATGATGTCGGCCGACGAAAAACCTCAGTTTTATTTATATTTATCTTTCCACCCGGTTTTCTTATGTTTTGCGAGATTGATGGGAACTCGTTAGGGAGCTGCTGTCGTCGAGTGAACACTGGATTTTACATTTTCTTTCGTGTTCCAAACGGTTTGTAGCTTCTTTTTCTATTTTTTATTTATAGCCTGCTAACTAACCTTCCTATTGAGGCCTATGAATCTCGTGTCACATATTTAGAATACTTTTAAATGAGTTTAAATTATTATTTGGATAAATGTGAAGTATCGATAATTCTGCAAGAAAATTGGTCTGAATGTAATCGTAAGGATTCTTAAAAATATTATAAGTGTACCGATTTGTACTGTAGGAAAAGGAAAGGAAATTTAGAACAAATATAGCAGAGATGTCTAGGCGACTG